ATTAATGAGCTTCCCAGCTTTCAAACTTGCATCAGCTCTCAACTTGGTGTGTTTACTCCTGTCTCAAACGTAAGTCCGATCAGTTTGATAAGATCAAAATGGCAGCTGATATCCCAAACGACATTCAGTCTGTTGTTAACTGGGGCATAGGATGGCTTGTTAATTTTAAATCTTCCAATAATAAACTGCTTTCTATTAATCATCTGAAAGATCCAACTGTGCCTTCCATCAACATGGTTGATAATGTCCTCCAGGAGTGTGCCTCGCTGAACTTTCTTAGGCTGACGTTCTCGACTGACATGAAGTGGAAAGACTATATTGAATCCATTGTTAGGTCATCTGCTAGGGAGCTTGGTTCACTGTGCTAGACCATTTTTTTGTCCAGAATCTATCTTACATATTTATAAGCCTATCATTCGGCCATGCTTAAAATATTGCTGACACATATGGTCCGGCACACATGCTATTTATAAAATCCAAGGAAGAATTTGGCGTTTCGGCTTCAGTCACTTCCCACCGCCATACGGTTGCATCCCTCCTGCCTTTTTCTATAAATACCTTCATGGCAATTGTTCGGATGAGTTCTTCACAATGGTGCCTAGACTATATGAATTTAAGCGCAGTATTAGACTGGTGACGAGATCTCACTAATTTACAGTTTAGCTCGTTAGATGTAACCGTGAATTCTCTGCTAACAGTTTCTTTTCTCGCACTTGTCGCTTGTGAAAACCGCTTCCGATTTCATGCATTCCAGCCAACTTTAACCTGCAAAATTTTTAAATGCAATATCAATCGCTATCTATTGTCCTCATGGTTTCTCTTCTTCTGTTCTCGCTCCCTAGAAATTTTTCCTCTTTCTAACTATTCTACGTCCAGTAACACCTTACGTCTCTGAGACTTTACTGTCTTTTGTGGGGGTGAATTCGCTTTTTAAAAAAATATAAATTGCAAATGATAATTGGGAAAACTTACAATGAGGGAAAATGGATTTCTCATGAGCTTTCATTTGAAAACAGAACACAGGGTCTTCCAATCTGCAACAGTATTTTAAACAAGAATGCCAAACTTTCGTTTTTGTATCACATATTACAATGTGATGAAAAATGGGTTTTGCATATAAATAGAAAACAAAATAGATAGTGGCTATGAAAAAATGAGAAACCAGTGTTAACATCCGCAGAAGTTCTTGTCCTGTGTCTGATGGAATTAGGTACTGCAACATGGAAGGACAATCACTGCAGATCTTTAATTCTAGCAACTTGATCGGTTAAATGAAGAATTAGTTCGAAAGTTAAACAGAAAATACCATACCCTGCCAACATGACAATGCAAGGTTAAACTCTTCAAAAGAAACCCTAGAAAAAAATGATCATTAAAATGAATGATTCTTCGAGATCATCCATAATAATCAGATTTCACATGGACTATAACGGCAAATTTGTTGACGTAATACGCAATAAATTTGTTGACGTAATACGCAATAAATTTTTTCAACTACTCTTGTTATTTTTTGTTTTTTGTTTTTTTAGATTTCAGCAAGATCTTTTTGTTATTAAAACGATGTTAGAAAAATAATTTTTACCAGGTTCCTTTTTTTTTGTTAGGATTCACTACGTGAATCTTATATTCACCGTTCGGTCCTCAGCTTCAACACTAAAGCTGTACTCACTAGAGTGTTTCTTTTTCATACGTTAATTCTTTGTTTCTTTGTAACACCGGTTTTTAATGGGTGTCTTAGTAATATACTGAATGCATTATTTAATTCTGAGTTAATTAACTACAGCGAAATATAATTGGCCAAATTCTTGAAATGAAACAGTATTACAATGGAGAGGGGCGGGAAAAATGTTTTTCATTTGTTTCGATCACAAAAACATTTGGTAATTGAGAAAATATTTAGAAACAAAGAAGCTTAGAAGACACTTTCAAAATCTTTTTTCAATGAAAAGCACATAATTCTTTAAATGAACAATTGAAAATTTGTTTTTTCGATCAAACTAGAGTCGTTGCAAATGAAGGTGATTATATTTTTATGAATATCTAAATAGATTTAACTTATACTTGTTTGTTTTTTTATATCCTAACCCCAACATAACTTCTTTTAAATAAACAGTATCAACTTAAATGTCACAAGAGCACAAACTTGCTGTGTTGTTCGAACTTAAGACGAGAGCAATGGTCTCCGAGACTATGTTACTAATCATTGCTCCATGGCGAAGCATTCACTTCCTGCGTTTGAAAGAAACAAATGTCATGGATGGATAGGGATGTGCATAAGGAATCTCCTGTTTGTATTTCCCGTCATCATTCTGCTGCTTTATTAGAATAAATATGCAAAATCCTTTTGCTTCGCTCCGGTTGCTTCGGGGGAAAAATGGCATGAATGGCCGTCGGCAATTCTCGGCTAGCACTGAACAATTTTCACAGCTTTGAGGAGCCGAAGGCAAAAATACGAACTTTAGTATATAATGTTCGCCGTTTACACTCTCCTTCCCACACACCTTCACTCACTTTTTCACACTCTTTCTCTCTCAACACACACACACACACACACACACTCACACATATATATATATATATATATATATATATATATATATATATAACACATTGAGTGCTGGTGCTAATAAAAAAAGTGCTCGATGTACGATAGATTTCAAAAATTATAATAATAATAATAAATATCCATTTTTTTACTCACCGGTAGCAACTATTAGTATATATATATATATATATATATATATATATATATATATATATATATATATAATAAATTAATAAAGAAATAAATGGCGAGTAACCTATTTCAGCAGACGAAGACAACGGTCGTCTGTCTTATCAACCCCTGTGTGTAATGAGTTCATGTCTATAAAGTCAGATTGGATGAGACAGGAAGGAGAATTTAACTGTGAAAGCTAACAAAATTCAACTTGCCGAAATTTCAATGTTCAGTCAGATGAAAGACACGAGACACAGGTCACGGAAAAGGAAGAAGCTTTATTAAAATAAACTCGAACATTAACCTTATGACACTAACTAGGGGTTATACGGGGAAAAAAAATTAATTTAAAAAATTAAAAGAGAAATAAAAATGAATCCAAAAATAAATTTAAAATATATAGATAAAAGTATGTAAGAGATTATCGGAATGAAATTTAGGGAGATATTCAAGTAGGGGAAAATTTATAAATTATAATTAATATAGTATAAAGAGGTTATAGATTGGTGCATTTCAATATGGAATTAGTTTTTGGTTTTTCTGTCGACATTTGAAGAGTTAGAGGGGAGTGAATTTGGGTGGCTAATTAAACTATATTATGGAAATTTGACTTTCTTTCTACGACGACATTTTAGAACTAATTCTTTCCTCTGATTCAATAGTTGATTTTGATTATTGTATTTTATTATTTTAATTTTTTTTCTCAAAAATTATATAAACTTATGTAGTGTATAAGTCAGCTTGATTTCTTTTCTGATTTATACGTTAGTATTTCTAATGTCATCCAGGCTTAGCTTTCAATAAAGAAATTTCATCCCGAAATGCTACTGGAAGTAATTAAGCAGTTGAACTTCAATGGTGGTATTGAAGAAAGTTTCATTCAGATCTACCCACGCTTCTTACAATCTCACTAATTACAGGTAAGTTCGAAGGCTGATGCTACTGAACACGATGTGCACAAGACCATCTCTGGAAGACCATGGGTATCAACCACGCCCTATCGAAATGTTGATTGTTGTTTGTGATTCCACTGCTTTGTGTTCTTAACAATATCCAAATCCTAACGGACATCAATATAAAATGGTGCGATTAAAAATCTTAAAAGCATTCATTTATGATAAATACAGTCTCCGTATGCATTATTTAAATTAGATATAGTTGGTTGTAGTTGCTTGAATATTTCTTGAGAAATCTTCAAAATGTGTACATGGTTTGGTTTGGTTTGGTTTACGGCATATCAATCTCACTAGGTTATTTAATGTCGACAAGATTTTTATTTCTTGTAATTTTTTTTTTTTTTTTCAAAAGTGAATTGCTGGTAATAATATTTTTCCAAAAATGTATTGCAGGTATTAAAATCTATTTTTACACTTTCATAATGTTTTAACTCCAGTTTGGGGGTTAACTATTTACCCATAGCTGGGATCCTAACAGGTGATACCACCCCGATTCAGGGTGGACCTGGGAACACCAGCCATTAAGATGTGATTCCACAATCCTATAATCCTCCTGATCCTTGCTGGCGGATGTAATTTATCGTCATACCCCGGACGCTCAAAATGTTTTTTAGATATCATATATATATATATATATATATATATATATATATATATATATATATTGAGAGATTATGTGATCAGTTTGTCGAAAACAATTATTTGAAAACCATTTATTCGAACTGTAAATTGTTTGAACGAAAATTTATCAAAAGGACAATTTTACTAAATGGTAATTATTCTAACTGGAAAATTCTTTATTGCAATAAAAATTAAAAGAGGAAATACACAAATGATAATTATTCGAAATACAAAGATCGTTAATAAAAAAAATTTAGCAAGAAAAAATCCTAATAAGCTTTAGTTATGTGAAGAGTACTCATTAAGGGATGCCACTTTTTAAGTTTTACATTTCGGCATTTCTTGGAGCCCTTGATATTTTGAAAACCTGTTCTTACTTTTGCAATATGAATTTCTTGCGAGTCCTGATCTCCTTGAAGGGCGTCTAAGAATTTCCATATTGTGGGATGATGGAATAACACTTTCTGCCTAAAAAGCCCGATGACAGCCTTCAAGGCGTTATTAGTTCTAGGTAAATCAGCATTCGGTGTAGGTCTTGCCTGCTTTTGGCAAAATAGATCAAGTTCTTGCCAAAAACTATTACCGGCAAAATTTGATCACTGTTTACGATTCCCAAGGCTCTGTACAAATTAGCAGACATTTTTGGTTAACTTCTTTTATAGACAGACACACAGACACACAGGCACAAGGGTTACAGCCACATACCGTTGAAACACTGTTTCCCGTACGATCACCGAAGTTAAGCAACGTCGAGCCTGGTTAGTAGCTAGGGGAACAGCTTGGGAATACCAGGTTTTGTAAGCTTGGATGCCCGCATGATATAATGGATAATTTCTCGGGATTCTTAATTGGAGAGCCGAGTGCCAGTTCCAGTTGGGTTTCTTATATTCACTTACGCGCAAATACTACTGGGTTAATTAGCAAGACTTGTATCATTAAATCACTAGTATCTCATAAAAAAAAGCCGAAAATTTCGAATCGAAAAAATATTTTCTGGCTTTAAATAAGCTGCAAAGGGTTAATAAAAAGTAATAAACGAATCAATCAACCGACACAAGAAGACACACAAACAAAAAATGCATGCATACACAGAGACATACACAGAAAAACACGCACACAAACACATGCACATACACATACACATACACACATAAACTCACGCACATGCACATGCACACACAAAGACACACATATCCACACACAATCGCCCATATATATATATATATATATATATATATATATATACACACACACACAGAAATACACAAACATACACGAAAATACACACACACATAGAGAAATACACATAAACACACGCACACAAATACGCAAAGACAAAAATGTACACATACATACAAAAATATTCACACAAAAACGCACTAACACACATATGAATTCACAACCACCCGTATACATACGCACACAAACATACACAAATGCATAAACACACACATGTACACACACATACACATACAGTGACAAACACACATAAGTATAAACCCCCACACAGATACACCCATATATATAGACACACATTCGCCCATACACACACAAACACACACGAAAACACACATACACATTACCCAGACTCACAGAATCAAGAAGACGATATTACAAAGAATCAGCAAGATGATAGTGTCATCCATAAAAAGAAAACAAAAATGAAGCACCTGCAAAAATGTAATATTTTTTTCTTCTTCTTCTTCTTCTTCTTATTATTATTATTATTATTATTATTATTATTATTATTATTTCTTACTTGTTTCAATTTTGAAGATTGTAGTTTGGCGAAGGAACAAGAAATCGGAATAGAGTTCCACAAGCGAGAAGTGCGTGAAAAGAAACTATAAGAATAGAACATAGGGTTATATTTAGCTAGTTCAACGGTACGACCTAGTTACTAATCTAGTGGCACGCTTAAATTCATGCAGTTAAGGTACCAACGATGAAAGCTCATTAGAACAATTGTCATGGAAACATTTATAGGAAAAAAAAACAGGGGGAAACCACGTGACTGTGTTAAGAAACTAACTGAAGTCGAGATTCCAGCTCAGAACATTACAGACCCTACTTTAGATTTTGTCAAGAATCTCGAAATATATAACAGCAGACCTAGCAATTCCTTCAGTACAATTCCTCCATTTCCAACAAGGTGCAATGTGTTGCTCTCCAGGAGGTTAGCATCAGTCATACTTAAATGATAGCAGTTTTATTTCAGAGACGTCAATCTTAGAAGCCATTTCGTTCACCAATTAACCAGTAATTTGGAGTTAATTGTCCAACCTACCGGTCTTATGAAAGGAGTAAATACTTGTGTCATTAGCATAAATATCGAGTTGGGAAGTGATGACATCGGAAAGGTCGTTTATGAAGATAGCAACATATGTCCAACGATAGAGCTCTGGATGACCCCGCGCATTCATGTGAAAGGACATGAAAGTTGTGCTGTTCATCGTAAAACCCGCATTGATCCTTTTGTTTTTTTGTCCTATTCATCCTCTCAAACCGAGTTAACGACTGCGGCGTGTTCTGCTGAGCCAAATGCCTTTTCATAGCCAACAAATGTTTGTTGTAGCGGAAAACCCGCTGGTTTTGCTTAGTTAGTTTTCGCTTAGGGTATTGGTCTGCTTTTAAGTCATTTTGAGAATAATTTGCATAATTTCGATAATCAGGTGATAGTGGGATAATTACTAAGATCATTATTATAAACATTGTCTTTTATAAAGTAACCACTATTATTTATTTTGCAACATCTTGTATCTTAGTGCCTTTGTTGCCTAGCTTAGGGTAAATGATCCAAAACATGTAGTTAAAGATGCTAGAAAAATGTCGGCTCATTCTATGGACCTAGGAAGTAATTGACTCCTTCTGTTGTACTTTATATTTACAAGATTCAGATCTGACCAAAAAATAGAATATTGCTGTCATATATGGATTGGAGATTCTTAATGGTCACTTTCCCTGCTTGATAAAGTTCAAAATTGTTTGCGCCCAGTTGTGTACTTATTTTCACACAAGACAACCTGTTTTTTTAACAGACCCAGTGGGGCAAGCCTAAAACTAATCTGTTTTCCATAGAAAATTTTCAGATGAGCTTTATTCTCTAATTCCACCAATTCAGACATTTATAACTAGGACACGAGATGCTAATTCCAGGGAGTCGAATCAACCTCATTTCCTCCGTGTTACGCATGTAATAATAAAGTTACACTCGTTTTTTCAAGAACGTCGACTTTGTAAAACAGGTTCCCGAATAAGTGCTTACTCGAAAACTAAAATTCTAACTTCTAAAGGGTGAATCGTCATCTTCCTACTGCATATGAATTTCCCGTTCATATCACACACAACCAATTTGACTGAAGCCCTCCAACTCAGGTACCTCTCGAGCCTAATATTAATCGGAATTTAGTATGAAAAACACAGACCAGTTAGCCATCTTGCAGACATCCGTGTGTCAGTATGTGTACAAGGACATCAGTCCCAACGCATCTATATTGATCAAATCGATCAAGCTTTACTTGGGAAAAATTTCAAATTAAGATTCAGCTAATAGTCTTGTATCAGGTGGCGTATTGAATCACACTCGTATATATATATATATATATATGTGTGTGTGTGGAAGTATATTGGTAACTATCTTCATACCTTACTATCCACCGTCTCCCATGTCTTGACGGACATTTCGCCAAATTCTAAAAATCGATCCATCAAAAGTATATAACGACATTTTCTATCAGTTATTTTTCTTTCGTTCTTCGATGAAGACATTTGTCTTTTTGACATCCCAGTCTAGACTGTATCTGTAAACATCTCTGGTTCCGTTCTCTCTCTCTCCCCTCTTTCTCTCTCTCATGCACGCATATATATATATATATATATAAATATATATATATATATATATATATATATATATATATATATATATATATATATAGCGATGTAAAATATTATAATCATATTTTGCTCTGCGTTGTATTGAGGACTTTTTTAAAAAAATAAATACTAAGAACTGTGGATTCTTAATCTGTCCGTTCTTTAGCATAATTTTCCATCCCACAAAATGTTTAATATCTAAAGGACCACTAACCTAATTTAGTTTTTTACAACATTTCAGATAAGACGTTGAGCCATCTTAACACCATTTTTCGTAAGAATCAATGAAAACTCCACTGAAATTTCAGCTAAAAAGAGAGAATGTTAAAACTGTTTTGTGTTAGACCCACTTCCTTCTCAGCTGGACAATAATGGCAGGAATAGTATCATTTATGCCTTCAGTAATGGTACCAACCTTCATATTCTGGCTTCCATCTTCAAAGTCCATTCAAGAACCATCGAGAGAACGGTGATTAAGTTTAAAAAAGAGGAAACAGTAGAGAGGGAGACTGGACCAAGAGGTCACGACAGGAAAAGGGATCATTATTTCAACTTATACCTAAAGAAATCAATTAGAAAAGATCCAACTCAAATGATAAGACTTTTGTCACGTGGGAAAGGACTTTCAGCTATAACAGTCCAAAGAGCAGTGAAAAAAGATTTGAAAATGAAATTGTACGTGAAACGTCTGAGACACTTTGTTACGACAGAAGGTTAGAAGATTAGAAAGGACGAAGATCATCTTAAATAAGTTGGGAAATGACACTGGCATAATATATATATATATATATATATATATATATATATATATGAAATTTATTTCAATACTTTATGAGCTTCCCATCCTTAACTATGATTAATTAATGATGAGCATGTCCTTTTCATTTATGATCGATTCCATCACAGTTCTTCTGTTAAGCTTGAAGACTAGTTATACATTATTATTGCTCAAAGTGGAGTCCAATAGGGTTGTAAAAACCTTCGGAGAATTCCCGTAAGATATCATGAATCATTCCTAAGATACATCAGTTCAAATCTTAATCTAACAAAGGGACAATTTTGCTATTACATGATTTAGACAATTTTGTTATTACAACCAGTATATCCGGTATATATATATATATATATATATATATATATATATATATATATATATATATATATATATATCAGGACATTCTAGTAGTTTTCGATGCGTGAGGAAGAGTACTGCTCAGTACTTAGAATCAAGCCTGTGACCTGAGCATACAATTTGATTATAATGGTGAGGCTCTTTCGGAAAATCAAATGAAGAAAACTGGCGCACATAGTGGACAACAAACTTGAAAAACGTCTCTCCGCTGGTTTTGATCTCAGAGTTTTCATTCTCCTAGACTGGTTGTCAACCAAGGCTATAGGGCCCAGACTGTCCTGATATTCATCCATCGATAGGAGTAGAACAGAAAGTAGTAGAGAAAATTCATAATTTTCCCAAGGATATTTGGGGGTAAATAAAAGTAGTGAACTCGCCTTGAAGCGAAACCGCTCTGCTTTACGCCTCTGTGGATAGTGGCGCCGAATGAGAGAAATTGGAGAGATCGAATTACTGTTAAATAATAGTTTAGCAGACTATTCTGCTCTGACTCCCTCAGTTTGACCTTAAGGGTCACGTTGAAGACAAAATAAAGGAAATCGATTTTGATTGGCTGAACTAGCGTGGGAATGATAGATAGAGAACGGTTTTTTCGGAGAGTCTAGTCTAAACCGTTATACAATGTAGACGGGTTTCCTTCCTGTCTGTGAAACCGCTTCCCAGTGGGGTGAGAGAGCGACCCTACTTGATACAGATGTATACGTCGACGTAAATAAAATAGTTAAGATTCCTTTTGTTGATGTCTTTTTATCTCTGAACAAAACGACTAGCGATCACTGGCTCTGAAAGAAGTAAGC